TATGCCTGCATGCATGCATTATGCATATATGTATGTATGTATATATGTGTGTATATGTGTGTATGTATATAGGATACATTTTTAAGTTAAATCTTCATTATTAACTTTTTTTATCTTAAGTCTAGATAATCAGCAAAACAATAAATCAAGCTCTGATTTCTGACATGTAAATAAATGATCAAATTGAAAATTTAACAATCAGTTCTTGGGAAACAGCACTAGCTGGGTCCAGCATACCCCTGTCCCCAAGCCAGTTGTGTGGGTCCTTGGTTGCTGATATTTTGATAAGACCCCTCAGCTTTACCACAATTTTGAGAGAGGCGGGTATTGTCATTCTGTGATTTTGACTTTGGGGGATCCTGGTCTTCCTGGTTATTGGTGGCCAGGGGTCAAGGGGTGAGCTCTGTGGGCCAGCACGCCAGTAGAGATGCGGCCACTTGAGTTACCCCCTCCTTCTTCCTCCTACCCTAGTTAGGGCTACTGTGAGCCAGAAAGCTGTGGAACAGACACAGGCAATTTGAGTGAACTATGTTCTATGGTGGATTGAGCTGAAACCCAGCTGGGGGTCTTTGGGCACAGCTGTGTCTAAGAATAGAAGGAGTATATGTCTGTAGTTGCAGTTGAGAGCTTCTCAGACCTCAACAAAATCTCCTTGTGGGCTAGCTGCTTTTAGCTCCTTGGGGACTGCTTTTACCTGAGGGTCAGAGAATAATTTTTTTTTTTAAAAGCACTTGCTTGGGGGCAGCTAAGTGGTGCAGTGGATAGAGCACTGACCCTGGAGTCAGGAGGACCTGAGTTCAAATCTGACCTCAGATCCTTGATACTTACTAGCTGTGTGACTCTGACAAGTCACTTAACTCTGATTGCCATAAAAAGCAATTGCTTATAACGGGCAGGAGTAGAATTTAGTATATTTTTTAAAAAGCAGGGATAGTAATCATGATCTCAGACAAAGTTAGAGTTAAAATAGATTTTATCAAAAATGAAAAATAGAGAAACTGCACTATGTGTCAGTAATATTATTCAATATTGTTTTAGACCATTTAAAACATTAGACAGTATAAAATACCTGAGCATATGCCTGCCAAAACAGACACAAGAACTATACGAACATAAACATAAAATACTTTGTTTTTGGTGAGGCAATTGGGATTAAGTGACTTGCCTAGGGTCACACAGCTAGTGTCAAGTG